GGTTACGCTGTTTTCAACGTTCTCGCCCCATGCCGGTCACGTGCATAGACTTTATTGAGACTACGTGCAGCTGGGTTATCGTCAATATTGTTTATACTTCGAACAGGTAGTGTCGCAGTGTCAACAACAGATGAAATATTGGTTGTCATGTCTTCGGTGCCAAAACCGGTTCATTGAAATATAGCGTGAGTGTTCTCGGAAACAAACATCGTGGCACCGGCAGGGTCATTTTAGTCCATTTTGCGAAAATACTGTCGGCACAGTGTCGTCGAAATGATTATTACGCCTGAACTTTCGTAATGGCGCAATTATAACAAAATATGTGCCGGTAGCGATTGGTCATTGGCGGGAGTTGCGTGCTGGCAGTCGCGTTTGCCATCCATATTGTTTGCCATAATATATACACGTTTATGTTGCCGGGTTATCACCGTTGTAAAATAAGATTATAAACATAGACGTCATATTGCCGGACTGTCATTGGGGCCCGAACTAATAGAGGTCAACATGACATACGTGAAGGAACAGGTACAATATAAGAAAATACTATTGAGTGGTTAACGGGTCAGTGCGCATTTTACCACAGCCTGCGGTTTACCGCTTAACGCGCTTGAAGCCACCGTTACGTCAGTCGACTTCATAGTCGTCGTTGTTATAGGCAGTACTTTTTGAAACATTTTCAACAGGCTCTTACCTTCGACAAAACAACATCTTTGAAAAGAAAATAGTTTCGTTGTTTTGGTTGCATCAATATGTTTGTCGCTATTTATAACGACATAATATCAGCATTGAAAGGGCAACAGCGTATTTAATGTCGACAGCACAGGTATAACTTCACTATTGGCTGGGTCAAGGTCAGGTTGTTAACAGTTTTTCAGATCTTGTTTGGTTTATCATTTGTTATCGCTTGCTGGAGTTCAAAATGGAAGTTACCAATACAATAGTAGCATGCTTGACGTTTAAAATGGTTTCCTAGGTAAATAGCTGAGCGGCGATGGGCCACCGCATAACCAACAGCCGAGCATATCATATTTAGGGCCATGTACTGAAACTCAGGTATTGCATTTTGGCCGCAGTAGTACAGTCGGTGTTGCTCGTTCCAGGTCGTGTAGCATAGTCGAAAATCGCCACCCGTCGCCAGACTTCCGCCGACCACCGCAAACACGGCCAGCACGACGGAAAAATTACTAAGCTGAAAAGCAACAACAGTTAATGAATCTATGCGAACATTGGCATATTTAACAAACGACGAAAGACTTAATCGAATGTAACACGACTGGCGTATTTTAAATATCAAATTTATTTTGACGAAACACCGCAAAATAACGATGGATGCAATTCGTCGGCAAACGTTTAATTATAATATATACTGGCATAGATTCTATCGCTTACCTCGCCCATGCGACAAATCTTGTGGCCGTTGCTGCTACTGTCGTGGACGGTTTTGCGGTCATGTCCATGGACAACCGACGGCCGTCCGTCCGCTCTACCAATTTCCCGTCCCACTACGATCTCTGCAACTCGTACGACAAGGGCGGCGTAGTCGTCATCGTGACGGCGACGGATTACTGCGTGGTCGCGGCTTCCGTGGACGGACGTCGTCCACCACGATGACGGCGTCGGCGGCTGGCTGGGTGGCCGAGGAGGCTGGCTGTGCCGAGCGGCCGGAGGAGCGGCCGGTGATCGCGTGGTCGCGTCGCGCTCGGCGGCGGTTTCGAGGTCACGACGGACAAAGTGGCCAGGGTGTTTGCGGCAATGGCTGCCGGGAGGGGCACGGCCGTGACGATCGGCTCCTGCCGTCGACCGTCGAAGCGAGCTGGCCGCGTGCGTGGCCGCCGGCCGTGGCCGAGGTAGACGCTACCGGGTCAGCCGAGTCAGCGGCTGGCAGGACGGGCTGGACGCTGCAGGCCGCGGTCGACGACGGCGAAGAATTGACGCTGGGGAAAGACAGGACGTGGACGTCGCCGTGTTTAACGCGAGTTTGCGTAGGCGGGCGACGCCGGCGGAGTTGGCGCAGGAGTTTGCGGGAAATGTAGCCACGCTAGTAAACGCGGCGACGACATCGGCGACGGCCGACGGTCGGCCCGTCATTGCCGCCGGCCACCGTGCTGGCCGCCGGCTGCGGCCGTTTCGGCGTTTTAGGCGACTTGAGCGGCAGTGGTGATTTCGGCGGCCGTTTATCGCGGCGTCGCCCGCAAAGTTGCCGTCGCGACGCCGCGAAAACAGTGCCGCCGAAATCACACTGCCGCCCAAGTCGCCTAAAACGCCGAAACGGCGCAGCCGGCGGCCAACGCGGTGGCCGGCGGCATAGCAGACCGACCGTCAGCCGTCCGCCGGTCAAATCGTCGCCGCGTTTACCCAAAACAGCCGATGGCCGCGACCACGCCGTCCACAAAAGCCGAAGCTCCGCCGAAAGACGTCGCCCGCCTGCCGCCCGATAACAGCGTTGTAAAGACGGCCGCGGCGACGGTGACCACGCGTCCACGGTGTCGCCAGCAGTCGTTAACCACAGCGTCCGGTTCTTCGCCGTCGTCGACCGCGGCACCGGCGTTGGCCGCGTCCGCGACGGCAACGATAACGACGGCGACGGCTACGACGGCACCGTCGGTCGCTCCGATCACGGCGTCTACCTCGGCCACGGCCATAGCGACCACGCACGCGGCCAACGCTATCGCTTCGACCGTGGTCGACGGCGGCCGATCGTCACGGCCGTGCCCCTCCGGCAGCCATTGCCGCAAACACCTGCCACTTGTCCGTCCAGACCTGCTGCCTGACTCCGAAACCGCCGCCGACGCGACCACGCGATCCACCGGCCGCCTCCGGCCGCCTCGGCCGCAGCCAGCCACCTCGGCCGCAGCCAGCCGCCGACGCCGTCATCGTGGTGGACGGCGATCCGTCCGCGGAAGCCGCGACCACGCGACAATCCGTCGCCGTCACGATGACGACTACGCCGCCGCTGTCGTACGAGTTGCAAGAGATCGTAGTGGAACCGGAAATTGAAAACCAGAGCGGACGGACGGCCGTCCGGTTGTCCGTGGACGCTGACCGCAAAAAAACTTCGTCCACGACCAGTAGCAGCAACGGCCACAAGACTGTCGCATGGGCGAGGTAAGCGATAAATCTATATGCTTATTATATATTATAATTAAACGTTTTGCCGACGAATTGCATCCATCGTTATTTTGCGGTGTTTTCGTCAAATAATTTGATATTTAAAAATACGCCAGTCCGTGTTACATTCCGATTAAGTCTTTCGTCCGTTTGTTAAAATAACTACTTAATGTTCGCATAAAATTCATAACTATTTATTCACTTTTCAACAAATACAATTTTTTCAATCGATATTCCAATTGCATCGTTGCGATTGAATCGCTTGGAAGTCTAACGTGAATTAGCGATTTTTTCCGACTGCTCTTACGCGATTGTGGTTTTTGGGTATACTATTGACTGTACCTACTGCAGTATTTAGCGTCTATTATAGGTTTTCAATTTACAAATTTCAGTAAGTAGGTGTAAATATTTCGAAACAGTCCAGTAGAAATCTTTGTGTAAAACTAGGAGTGTATTTAGATTAACTCTAAGTTGCATACATTCAAAACATCATATGTATATTTTCGGAAATACATTTTTAGAACGTCAAATAATGCTACTATTAAATATTAATTAACTTGTTTTGAGATCAACTTAGAGCATTAACCAAATTAATTAATTAAACTAAAGATCTGAGAAAAAATATTATGTATATTGTATTGTAGTAAAAAAAATTAAAGTTGTCTATAGTATATGTACTTTTAAATATAAAGTACAATGTTATTTAAATACATATTTATGTATTTCAAATTTTTGATAATATGTTATGTCGTTTATAAATGTAATAAACCATAACAATTGATTACAACTAAAAATAGTAAGAATATTTTTTTCTTTTCAAAAGTGTTGTTTTGTAAAAAGTTAAAATTATGTTAAAAATATTTTCAAAAATTATATATATTAACATAATTCGATGACTAAAAAAGATGAGTCGATGACATTAATAGTCAAAATATGTGCGTTAAAACCGGTAAAATGCACAAAATTTATGAAATTAAAAATGCGCACTGACCACGTTAACCGCTGTACATAGAATATCCAATAGATATTTTTTTTCGTTGTATTAGTACTTATAATATATACGTGTAAATCATGAGCAGTCTGTTGTTAAAGTTCAATTTATTGAAGAATGAGTCAACTAATAAATGACGTCTAATGTTTATAGAAATCATACATTTTGTATGGTGATATTTATTTTATGTATAAAAAACACGTGTATATATTATGTAAAACAATATCGTTAATAAACCTTGACTATTGTACGTATATGTACCGTGATTAAAATCCTTTTAGTTTTTTTTATATTTTTTATTTATAATTATATACATTACAAGAGAACAGACATGTAATAGTATCATGTTTCTGATGACACTATTGCATTTTTTTTCAATAATTATTTTTCATAAAGTCGTTCCGCGTGTTACCGCGGTGCCTTTTTCTCAGTGTTTGACCAGGGCACACGTATATTTCAATGAACCAGTTTTTAACGAGACATGTTAATTAATAATATCACAATTTGTTATTTTCACGAACCTTACCTAGTATAGTAATTCGGCAAGTCATATAAATAATATTGTGTCTTAACACACGTATAGTCATAATAAAGTCTCTATACGCGTTTCGGTGGTGGCGTCAGCGCCGAGCGAGCGGGACTCGAGGGGGTGTTGAAAAAGAAAGAAAAAGTTCGATATAATGGTGTAGCAGTGTCGGTGTGCCGGTCTTACATTGTACCGAGTCACGCCACTGCCGGGTGTATATTATATATATTATATATAGGTACACATACACGACGTAAGTAATTGGGTCACTCCGCCACAGCCGAGGAAATAGTATGTGTATATACTTAGGCGGCAACTGGCGGGTGTCTTGTGCTTAAGGCCGCGCGAACATGCGATGCAGTTTCATTCCGTGCTGGCGTGACCACAAGTCACAAGTGCCCCCTTCCCCCTGTGTGTGTTCTCAACCCCCTACACGTCACTACCGACGACTTTAAGTACGATATACACCCCGAAAGTCTTTCTTCCTGTGCACCGCACCCCACCTTCGTACACACAATAAGTATATATGTATATTCTTCCGCCTTCCCTATATGCACCCTCCCCATATCTGTACTTCCAGCGCCACCGTCAGCAGCAATCGCTTCGATCCCCCACCCGTGGTCTTGGGCGAAAAAAAAATAAAAAAATAAAATCATAAATAATCACTGAAGTTGACCACCATGAAAAAAACCAACGGCAGTAATAAAACAATACCGGCCATTATACACGCGCTTGGTAGTCGGGCGGTGAACTTTTTTTCGGGTCAAGTCATATATTCGCTTCTGCGTGGGCGTGCATGTGAAGGCAAAACGGTCGTTTTCCGTTTCGCGTGTGTGCGTCTGTGTACTAAACAATATATATATATATAATATACCTTCACAACTGTGGATGAGCAGCGGAAATACGTCCGTCTCGTGCGGTACGCAATGATGGGCGGCGGACGTACCGGTCCGGACGCCGCGAGATTCGACGTCTATTCCATCGGCTTCAGGTGTGACTTAGGACGGAGAAAGATGATTGACACTTAACATATTTTTATTGTATATACAGGTCTTGGATGGAAAGAAACAGAACATTTTTTCTTTTTTTAAAACTATTGTAGCGTACCACTTCTATAATAATATATCCTATACAATAAAAATTTCAATTTTCAATTTTTATACACTTTTGCATCACTTTCTATACTTTTCCAATAGAAACACTAAATCTATATATACCTACAAGCATTATTATTGTTACATACTGCATCTATAATCAGGACCTGATTTAAAGAAAATCTATGGTCTATTTATTTTGGAACCCTATTTAACTAAAAATTGGTAAAAAAATATAAGAATAACATGCTTAAGGTAAACTACCAATTATCAAGAACAAGTTTAGATTTGATTACAATACATATTTTTTTTCAAATTTTTTATTAATATTTTCAACTGTTAATTTATTTATTTGAAACATCATGAACGGTTGTCAGTAATTATATAAAGTAAAGTTTTTTTATGTCGATGAAGAGCTCAATCACATGTTCAAGTGAAAAAATAACTTCCACTTCCTTATTTAGTACTAAGGAAATCCTAAAAATTTGATGTATATACTATATTATACCCAATTAAATATGTATATACTAATTTTCAAAAATAATATATGATGATTAAAAAATAAAATAAAAATTGCATATCGAATTTTCATAAATAAATATAATATAATGATTAAAAAATATAATAAAAATCGCATAATGTGAAATTTTATATTTTATGAGGTTTATTTCTATAACTTAAAAATTTAACAAAATCGTATTGATTAATTTTGTTTATTGTATAATCTGAAATTTTTTCATTTATAAAATCTTTTTTTCGGTGTATTTTTTACTGATTTTTGGTTTTGTGTTACTAATTCCAGTTCTTATTTTATGTCGAGTCGGGATACTATTATCAGTTGTATTTTCCTGTAATTTCGTATACGTTTTGCTTTAAATGAAGTATATTTGAATGTATATTAGTTAGCTATACCAGCGTTTAAAGTTTCAATAAAAAATATATTTATGTATTATATTGATATCGCCTGTTAGTGCTGAGGCACTTCAATGTATTTTAGTACAGAATGACTCAAGTTAGAACTACGGTTTCGGTGGACCAATTTTTTGAATTGTTTTTACATTGTTTTTTGCTTATTTTATTTTACATAATATATTTTTATTTTTGAAAATTCGTATATACATATTTAATTGGGTATATACATAATATGTACCTTTTTCCGCCGTGTAGGAACTAACATACGTACCTAATTTTTACCGTGTAGAAACTTACATATGTCTGTGTAGGAACTATTAACTAACATATGTAATTGTTTACCTGCTACTCTCGTGTAGGAACTTACTATTCCCCAACATTTTTAGGGGCCCATAAACATAATTAAAATATTGTTGACCAAAAAATAAATATATTTTAGAGACAAAAAATTTTTTATCTATTTGCTTTCTAAAATACTAAAATAAAAATGTTATTTGTACAAATAATTTTTTTCTCGCTTTTTGGGAAGCAAACTCTTTAATTATATCATCGGTATTTATTATCTCCAAAACATCACTATTTGAACACAAAATCATAAAATTATTTAATTTTTTTAAGAAGTGCTTGTTCTTTACTTGTTTTTTACACGAACTAGTTTGTAAAAATTTGTTTGACTAATAACTAATAACTACAGTCTCTAGGAAACTATATGCTTTATTATTAAGAACAGTATTATAGCTATGTCTATAATATCTAATTCCATGTGTTTAGTAATAATTAATAAATAATAATAATTCAATCGTTATAAATCCGTATTCGATGATATTCACTGTTTCGGCGTATCGCCATTCAGGTATTCCTATAATCCCATTTCCTTACCATATCATTCTGCTAAAAATAGACGATATTGTTGATATTAAAATATCATAATAATAGTAATAATAATAACATACGTATAATATAGCATAAGGAAAATTTTAATGTATTTTATGCAAGTATTTCTGATTTAATAAAAAACAAAAAAAAAACCGAACTAACCGCTAGGGGCCCTCTATTGTTTGATATCTATTTGGGTCCCCCTTAATCCAGGCTTGAGCCCTATTATTACACTTGTTTTTTAAAAATATTTATTCAAAAGCATGTTGGCTTTAGAATATGTTGGGGAGATCACAATTTTTTCAGCAGATTAATTACATACAGTAAACTTAATCGCTACATCGCTATAGCCAGTGGCGTAGTTATGATTTTGTTCTGGGGGGGGGGGGGGGAAGATATATTATAATTTATTGGATAAAAATAAAGTGAGGTGCTTATAACCATACCCTTATACCTTTTTATTGCATATTATATCCGTATTTATAACATAACATAGGTAGTTTTATAATCTTATATCGAGTCAATGTATTAAACATTAAAAAAAAAAAAGTTCTGAAGGGGGATCTATCGTTATTATCACCCCATAACTACGTTACTGGTAATAACCTGCGTAACGAACTACTGCTATGGCTAAATGTATTTTCTGCGAGTCCAAAGCTAATTTAGCCCCAATTATCTCTCTCGATAATTTTTTCAGTAGTGTTTTATTCAGAATCAAACGGAATTTAATGACTATGTATTCTTGTATAAAAATAATGAGCTTATGCCATAATGGTTACAATGTTTTAAAAAATAAATCATAAATTATTATTTTTGGAAATTTGCACCATACTTATTTATACAATTAAACATAAATCAAATAATTATTTTGCTCTTTTTAGAATTATAGTGGTGTAGCTTTATATGTATTTATTTTTAGTTTTTTATTTTTACGAGAATTTTTTGAGATGAAAGAACTATACTTAACTATATTTTCAAAATATACATAATAATATGTATAATATCTATCTATTATTTTTAAAACTAGAATTTTAACCATTTAAAAACATTACTAGCTTGACAACCTATATTATTATGTTTATGTTATCCAATTTATAGTATTGCATACAGCAAATTTATTTTTAATTATCATGTCTATTACAGTATTGTATAGCTATACTATATTGACATATGTATTTTATTTGATATGACGGCTTAGATAATTTTTTTTTTTTTTTTGTAGCTTTTATAATTTCTTTTTATGATAAGCAAATCTTTTTTCTTGTACAATTTTTAGTTATTTTTCTGCAGTGGCGTAATTATGAGGGGATACATCCCCCCAAAGCTTTTTGTTTTTTAATTAATCATTATTTAACTCCCGTAAGTACTTGGCTTTTAATGGTTTTAAGATTTTTATTATTTTTTTAAGAAATAAGAATTATTAATTATTAATAAAGAAATTACAAATTTTCAATAACTGATATAAACAGAAAACGAGGCCTAACTAAGTTTGAATAACCAACATATTCTGAGTTAAAAACGGGCGTTTTTTGTAAATTTTGCACAGATTTTTCAAAATCTGGTGGTATAAATAATCAGATATTAGGTCAACTTGCTGTTAGGGTTTTAAATAATAGAAAAGTGCTAAGCAAATCATTATAATATAGTATTTACTTCATGTTAAATTTTATAATATATCATATTCAATTACTATGACTGTGTTTTAGATTTTTCGTGAAAATTCTAAAAAGTTGTATCATAGATATTGTATTATAGACTCGAACCATTTTTTAAGTGTTTATTCTAAAATTATCAATCATTAATCAATTAGATTTAGAAAGGTACTGATTTACTAAATTTGTTTTATTTCTGTACAGTACATTATACATGTACTTATTTCTTGTACCTTGATTTATAACAATTAATAAATATATCTAATACTGTGATATATTAAAGTTAATGAATAAAGGTGGGAATATCCCCACACTATAATGATAGTATATATAAACTCACCCCAGAACCAATTCCTAAGTACGCCACTGTGTTTCTGTAATTTCGAAGATTGATCTAAATAATTCAAATTTTGACTGTTTGTAATGACATAAATTTAAACACATTTTGAAAATGGTATATTTCTAAATTTTGTACTTATGTTACATACATTTTTTGTGAATACTTATTAATTTCCTACTTAATTTCAGCCAAGCTCACTATAAAAAAGAGAGCATAACTCAAAATATTAAAGAAGTATTAGGTGCTAAAAGGGTTTATAAAGATTATAAGTATCAATATTATTTTGCACCTTAAATAATATAAACACATCAGTTAGTGTGATTCTATTTTACTACACTTTTCCCAAAACACCTTAAATATTTATATAAATTATATATTTATTCAATAAACTAATATGACTTTTATTTCGTAGAAGTCTTAGAGTAACTAATAGAAACAATAACTTAAATTATTAAACTGCTTTTATGATTAAGTTATACATTATATATTTATTTTAAACATTATTATATAATATAATTAATATGTAGAATATACAAGATATATGTATACATTAAACCATTAAATTATTTTAATATATATAAAGTATAAGTATGGATATTACACTTTAATTTCGTCTCTAAAATTTATCACAGGCATAAATAGATAAGTTTGTTAATTTTTAATTTAACAAAATATTTTTTTAATGGTAAAATCACATTTTTTAACCATTTTCCTAAAATAATAAATTTAACATCAACATTTTTTTAGCTTTTAAAATTAATTGGATCATAAAATTTTATGTTTACTACCTTGTAAACGCGTCAGTCGTGAAGTGAAAATTAATATGAAATGTGAACAATTTTCTTTACAGACATTAACAACTCTGATTTTATACATATATTTATAATGTATTTAGGTATATTTTGTGTATTTGTGTCTGTATATATGAATCGAGCAATTTTACCCGTCTTCACATTCACGCGATACAATTGAATTCTAAGCACGCGACGTGAATATTATCATACAATGATCTATTATATCAGTGAATTTAATCGGCACTAGCCCATCACAAACATAACATAATAACCCTCTTCGAATCAAGACTTAAGGAGAACATATATTAAAAGCAGTTTTTTTGCAATCGCATAGTTGTGGAAAATAAATTATTCATACAGCTTATAGTATACAATATTAACATCACACGAGTATGATATTCATAAAAGTAAAAGGTATATAATAAAAGCCATACATAATGTTGATTTAGTTAGTTACATGTTCATTTTTAATTCACCGGTAAAAATTCAAAATAACTCAAAAAGAAATGTGATTTTCTCCTCAATTCTTGATAGTTTACAACCGTAAGTCAACAAATTATTAGGTACCTATTATACAGTTGTAGCGGAAGGCAGACGGTTATAGTACGAGTATAATAATAATTCGTAACGTGTTAAAGAGACACTATTATTATTTAGGTATAGTTATATTATGTTTATCAAAAGCTGAAACACTTTTTATAAATATAGAACTATAACTAGAGAGCAAATATAAAATAACGATGACTAATACATATTAGTATATATACGTTATACAAAGTGATTCATCAATCATCTAGCATGCAGTGATCACCGTCCCTTGATTTTTACTTTAATAATGAATTTATTTAAATTCTGATTTAATAAATTTAAATGGCGGTTATAGAACACTTTGCGCAGTCACATAGAAAATATAAAAAGTGCGGACAGTTTAATTATATTTTGAGTAGGTAGTAAAAACATTGAATATGGCGGACAGTTCATACTATTTCAAGTAGAAAAAATATATATATTTTACAAGATAATTATAATGAATTTAAATAGGTAATTATTTGCAGTAATCGGTTACAATTTAATTATGAATTTTAAATAAGAATAAATTTAAAATAGATTTATTTTTTATAATTAATATAAATTATGTAGAATCAAGAGAAGCTGTTATAAAGAACATTGAATACATATTTACTAATTCATTTGGTGGGTAGTGATTTTCTTCATCTAGTAAAAATGAAAGAGATGTAATAATTTTATACTTTTTTTTGCGATTTGTTCATTTTCTTTATATATTTTGGATAATCCGAAATATTACATTTGTCACCCCGTGTAGACTAATAAAAATGAAAAAAAATAGTGCAGTGTCCTTTTATCATTTCAAATAAGTAGGTATAGTTAAAGAACATATTTTAAATTATTAATACTTGTATACCATTTAAATTATATTCTACACGAACTTCATTTATTGAAAGAAAACCAATTTTTATTATAAATTGTTTAACAGATGATTTTTTTTATACAAATTTCGATATATATTTAAATTTAGATTTGAATGAGCGGTGTCAAATCAGTATCAACATGACAACATGGAAAAGTTTTTAAAAATAATATTATCACGTGTATATTTAGAAATTTCAAAATATTAGAACTTGAATAAATTAATTATCAAAGGAAAAATAGGGGTGAGCATATTCGATGAATTCACCCGTATATAAAACGAGTATGAAAGTTTATTGTGTAATTTAACTAAAATATTATAAACATATTTACTTCGCAAATGTAAATAAGCACTAATGGAGGACTTACTTATACTTTTACGTACATTTAAGAATTTAAAACACTCTTCATAAACGTTTTACGACTAGGCATAAATTTTATGTATATTATGTAGTGTTAATAAAATCGTATTACGTTTTAACGTTTATAAACAATTTTAAATATTAAGGACACCACATATCAATATAATAATATTAATAATTAATATTTTGTCCATGGGCACTCTTAGAAACTAGAATAATGACCTTATGTATTGTTAAGTTTATATGTACAGTATAGAGTTAGTCAACGTGGCAACATCATAACATTTACATAATATTTAAAAACTGCTATTTGAAAGTTTTATTTGACATTTTTATTATAAAAACATACCAACAACTTGTATTTTATTAAATTATAAAAAAGTTTTGAATAACCATTTATGTTTTAGTTCAGTTATTTAATATTTTTCTATAATTCGTTATTTACTGCAGTAGATAAAATCTGGTCACGCTTTTAAAAAAAACATTTTTTAAGCTTAACCCTGTTTAGAAACATACAACCTTATTGTATACATAATGCGTTATATCGTGAATTTCTGCATATATATAATATATATATACATACTAGTTTTAAATTCGTGTGAACCCGATCGATTTATTCTGTAAAATAATACAAAATTTCAAGATGATTTAACTTCAAAATAATGGTTTCAATGGTTTTGAAGAAAATAATGTACGGATATTAATATATTAAAGACCTATTACTTTATATTTATTTTGGAGATCAGATCGCCAGCCTGTAAATTTGTAATTTTTATATAGGAATGTATTACATTTTTAATTTATATCTATCACTTCAAAAACAATACTCTATTAATATCGTGTATTATAAATGTTTGTACGATAAATTACAAAATTCTCATTCTCAAGAAAAGTTTTTTTTTTAAATTTATTTCACTTCCTACAGAACTTTCTTGAACCGACGGCCAAACTGTTATTGACTCTTTGAGTTGGGCATATAATAAACATAAGTATTAAATCCTATTCCATCCTATTCTAATGACCCTATCTGTGTTCTGTACATATAATATTTTAACGACATTTAAGGGAGGTGGCCGATTTTATTTGCGGTCCATTAGCAAATTGACGTTAACTTTGTGTATCCATGCAATGTATATTAACTATATTTATAGTTCACATCACCCGTTTTCAAATGAAAGTGAGTAAAACTTTGCGTGATGTTGGGGGGGCTGTTAATAGCCGAAAAGCCGCTCGTAATACTATAATATATATAGGTATATGCGATGGCTAATATATTAGATAGGTAAGACATTATATGACGGGCGTTTACCCAATCGCTGTGGATTAAAAAAAAAAAACCGATTTAAAAAAGAGCTCGTGTGTTATGACTCATGAAACAGCCAATAAGTACTCAATAACCCTAAATTCGTGTATATAGATAATATACGAATTTTTTTCACGGGTATACAAAAAAAAAAAAAAAACATTTAAAAACTAACAACACAATAATTATAAGTAATAAACTAAATGCAATTTATTTTTTATAGTCGTGAATATTTATAAATATTTTATTAAAACTAACTGCCTTATACGGTATGCATACGTTTATATTATATTATAACGACTTTACCTCGTTTTTTCCACTGCAGGCCATCCGAAAAGATCATCGTGCCGGCGGAAGTCCCGCGGTCGGCCGAACTGACGGTCACCAAAGATCCAGCTTACAAAAGGTATGCGCGGAAGCTGTGCGGCGGCGGTGGTGATGGCGACGAAAGCGGTGGCGGCGGCGGCGGCCGAAGTGGACGTCGACCAACCGTCGCCCACGTATCTCCGCCCGCCGCCGCTGATGGCCGCGCTTCAAAGTGCTGGGCGGCCGTATGGAAACGGCGGCCGCGGCCGTGCGGCAAGTGTTGTGGCCGAAAAAGGTCGGCCGCCGTGACGGCGTCCTCCGCAGAGGTCGCGTCCGAAGGCCAACGACGTCGGCTGCAGTGGTGGCGGCGGTGCAGCGACAAGTTGCACTGTTGCCGCGGCAAGCGAATTGCCGCAAACAAGAAGAAGCTCGCGGCGGCGGCGTCGTCGTCGGTGTCCGACCACTCGGTCGGTGCACTCGGCATCGCTCCGCCGACCGTGACGGCCGCCGACACGTTTTGCGGCAAGTTGAAGTGGCGGTTGCGCCGGTGCTGCTGTTGCTGCAGTTGGTGTTGCGGCTGGTGCACCGTACCCAATTTCATCAAGCGGATCTGCTGTTGTTGCACCGGCTGCCGGGGCAAGCCGACGGCTCCCAAAAGGAAGTCGGCCGACTCTCAGAAGCGGTCCCCGTTCAAGTGCACCGGTTGCTGCACGGTAAGCTGCACGTCGTATACAATTATAGTATAGGTACCGTCGTACGCGTAATATTATGTTTAGACATTCACGCCATTTTCACGCCGCCACGCGTGTCACGTCCGATTTTACCGCAGAGTCGTAGAGCCACCGATCAGTGCCTCGAGGGTCCCACAAGAAGAACCTTGTAAAAAAAAAACATCTTAATATTGTGCAGGCAAACATTTAAAATGACTATTTAATGTCACTTAAAAAATATATAACATACAAGCCGATTCTACTGCACTGTGTTGCCTGTGGATTTGCCACTTCTTGATCTCTGTTAAATGTAAACTACACAGATTTTTAACACAGTCGTTTGGGTTGTTTTTGCTAAGTATAAAATACAGATTGAGATTTTATTCAATCGTGATAACAATTTTATTTTCTATAATCAATAGCAATAATAAATAAATACAAAACTATGATAAATTTTCGTTAATCAGCTATATATGTTATTCAACATATATAAGTTGAAGAGAAAAAAGTAGCATACTCGTATAAGGCCATAACAATATATTGTTTGATGACAATTTCATGAGAATTGATCGAAAACTGTGTATTTACAAAAGAGTCATCCGTTTTAGGCCTTCGTTTTTATGTAATACTAGCTAACCTGGAAAACGATTTACACGCATATGATCGTAAGTTCATAAGTAAATCCCATCAAAAAAAGTTCACTCAGTAATTCTCAAATTTTTCAATTTTCCGGAAAATTTTTCCAAATTTATCTTTTTATAAAAATGTTATTTTTACGACTATTGAAAATAATGAGATCAATTGTTTTTTTGAACCTATTTTAATAGGCGACCGTTCTTATTAGACTGCAAATAAATCTATGTCATATATAGATAATGTTATTTAGGAGGGTGACTTAAATCACAAAATTCGGTAATAGGAACATATGCATAACATGTATCTTGTCAGTAAGACGATAATTTTGATGTTGTATGTAGTTCACAAATACTTAAACGCAGTGTTGTACGTGAATAAAATGAATAAGATTTCTTATAAACACAATAGGCACCTTCCAACAATCATTTCCGAACCTATTGTAATGGTGGACCGGTCAGATTAAAATAGAATTATTATGCCTATATAGATGTTGTTATTTAAGAGGGTGACCTAAAGTGGAAAATTTGATACTAGGGCCATATCCGTAAGATGCTTCTTTTTGCAAGAATATCATTCCATCGTTGACTGTAGTTCTCCAATATGTCACACCATGTCCTATTTGAATAGGACGTGTGTAATTTCTATTATATACATGGTTTTTGCTGTTTTGCCGGACGAAAACGATTTTTTTTTAATACTTTCAATAAATAATTTCCAAACCTATGGTAGTCGGCGGCTGGCAGATTAAATTGAAGATATACCTATATAGATGTTATTGTTTAAGAGGGTGACTTAAATCGCAAAATTTGGTACTAGGAACATATGCGTAACATGTATCTTGTCAGTAAGACGATCATTTCGATGTTGTATGTAGTTCACAAATACTTAAACGCAGTGTTGTACGTGAATAAGATGAATAAGATTTCTTATAAACACAATAGACACCTTCTAACAATCATTTCCGAACCTATTGTAATGGTGGTCCGGTCAGATTATTAATAGAATTAGTATGCCTATATAGATGTTGTTATTTAAGAGGGTGACCTAAAGTGGAAAATTTGATACTAGGGCCATATCCGTAAGATGCTTCTTTTTGCAAGAGTATCATCCCAGCGTTGATTATAGTTCTCTAAGATGTCACGCTATGTTCTATTTGAATAGAACGTATGTGATTTCTATTATGCACATGATGTTTCGGCTAATACAACTAAATAGAAAATGTTTTGTTTCTCACCAAACCCGGCATATTGAAATTTAAAAAGGAATAAATATTCGAAAAAATGTTTCATAATTTTTTTAGTTGAATTTAACAAATATTTACTATAAAAAACTTATGAATAATAAACCGTGTATTACATTTCATGTCCAAGCTATAAAAGATACTTATCAAATATTTAATAGATTTTTAACTACAAAATAATTTGCAAATTTTCGTGGTTGTATCAATTTGGTCAGAATTTAATAAAATGTTCATAAAGTAATTATACTTATGTATGAACAGGTACTGTTGGATACAAAATACCATTTGAAAGATTCCCGCTGTGTTATCATTGCTATATTATCACGTAGCAACGTCCGTCGATCAAAATTTATGAATACGGAGAGCGGCGAATCGTTATCACCGCCGTTGCCTAAGACAGCGGCCGGCGATAGACCGTTTGCCCATACTTTTTTGTTCGTGTGCTAACTGGTGCGTCGCCGCTGTTAAAATCCGTCGCGATTCCGTGCCTTTCGTGTCGTCATTGCTTAACACAGCCCCATCGTCAATAAATTGTCGTTTCGTCGCATTCACGCCACGCGATTTTCTCTTTGGGATTCGACATACTGCAAATCATAACAAAACCTTGGCAGCCGATTAGAATAAACTACAGATATTATACCTATATAGATGTTGTTATTTAAGAGGGTGACTAGGTGACTAAAAACGGAAAATTTGGTATTAGAACCATATGCGTAACATGAATATTTTCAGTAAGACGATCATACCGACGACGATGTATATAGTCACAAATACTTTAACCCAGAGTTGTACGTGAATAGGGCGAATACGATTTTTTTTCAATACCATCCATAAATCGTTTTGAACCTATTTAGCAGGTGGCCGGTCACATTATAATGTGGATAACTATATAGATGTTGTTATTTAAGAGAGTGGCTTAAATCACAAAATTCGGTATTAGGAACATATGTGTAACATACATCTTGTCGGTAAGACGATTATTCCAATGCTGTTGGTCCATCTGTTTTTCAAATGTTGCGCTTACCAACCAATAGTATTTAATTTGTATACTTATAAATTAATATTATAAATATTTATTAATTATGGCTGATTTCGCGCGACATTACACGTGATAAATTAACACATACAAACTCACTACACAAATATTGCCTTTTATATTATAAAAGATAAATATATAACCAATAATCTAACTTCTAAATATGATATATATTTTATTATATACTTATAAATATTATAATAGGCTCGTAATATAAGCCATGGAGTACTCATGTCTCATAATATGTTCACGATAAAATTAATATTGAGGAAAAATAGTCTAAAACAAATTGATTTTAAAATTGACCCTTGACATTTTTATTTTATTCATAAAAACAATCTTAAATTTTAGAAATATACAAAGAAAGCCAATAAAGTCATTATAGAATGACATTGAAATAATATATGAAAATTAACATGCATATGACAAGAATAGTGTATGCATTTTCACGCCTAAATATGTGACCCCCTCTCTGTTACAACTATCCAATAAGTCTCTGCTTAAAACCTAATCCCGAATCCTTCGTATAATGTACGGTAAAGTACACATTTCAACTATTATTAACTTTTTGTGACATTTTTTTTTTTTTACAAAATTAAAAACTTAAAAGTAATTTTATTCTATCCAGTACCCTTATTTTTCCATACTTAATCAAGTTTTTTAGTTAACCCATTATCCATCACGGAGTCTTGATTTCAAATGGAAACTTTTAATTCTATAGTTTAATGTTGAAATTTTCATTTAAAGTTTTACAATCACTCTACTATATTCACTTTTAATATTTATATATTATTTGTTATGTGTTAATAATGTACAAAACCGGCGTGGAACTATGCATAATGCGTGCATGAAAGTATTATTGTTACGTTCTTATATCATGCCATATTAATCAACAAATATTTTTAAAACTTAATTATTATTATACTATTATTCTATTTTTACTATTAAGTGAAATTTTTTCATATTAAGAGCCTTTTTTTAATGTTTATAAATTATAATATAATAATATTAAAATACTTATTTGATCTTTGTCTTATATATTTGGTTCAAAAATAAAAGATGTAAATAGGTACCCTAAAAAATCTAAACTCAATTTGCTATCTACTAAGAACCACTTTCAAAGTTGAAAAAATAAGCATTTTTACTGCTCAAAAATGTGATGATTCACACAAAAGAAACTCATATCATTGAAAATCAATACATTAATCGCCCTGTTTAGAATCTAAAATATATATTTGTGTTATATTATTACATATATTGTATGTAATATATAGTTTGTGTTAAATATAGATTTTCATAAATTAATTTCATTAATTTGTTTCTATATGCACTTATAAATATTATCGTTAGTGGCGCCAAGTGTTTATTTTATCTTGTTTTATCGATGTAATATGACTTTAGGTCAATATAAACATTTATTCATGTCACAAGTAATTTAGCAAAAGTGGTTAAAACATTCGATATAGTTAAATACTGTTAATTATTATGGTTAATAGAGAATATAATTAAAGTGATTCTATACCCATGTGGTCGAATATCATACTTCTATATTGTTGGTATTTTGTCGCATGAGTTTCACATTACTTCGACACCACGGAGTTTTTAATTTTTGTTAGTTTCAACTCATACGCTTGTGGGTGCTGATGAGGTCGCGAAAAAATAAAATTTATTGCCACTCCACACACTCATTGATACATACTTCTACATAGTATAAAAGCCATTAATAAGTACGCGTTATAAGATTATTTTTTAATTATTCACTATTTTTTTCGATATGCCGAAAGGTAAACATCCATTGTTACGTCAAAAAAAACGTATTTTATCAAAATTCCGTACAAATGCGTTTAAAACCAATGGTGCAATTATTGTCTGCGCAGTAAACAAGGTAAATAGACTTTAATTATAAATATAAATAATAATTCGTATTAGAACAAATAACTATAATATAATGTTATCTTAATAAAAAATGGATATTTTTAAAACTTATTATTATTTATAGTTTCTTATTGTTATAAAATATAACAAAACACTTGTATAAATTTGGTAAATTTTACAAAACGTTAAGCTCCAAACTCGAAATGTATAATATTATCCACGAACATGAAACGTCCCATAATAGATAAAGTTTATATTTAAAATCTGAAATATTTCACGAAATCGTGAAACATTGAATTCTGAAATTATTGTTTATATACTATACTATTTTTTTTATAAGTTATGAGCTATCAATTAATATAATAAATTTAACTAAATTCTTATTAAAAACTTAGCTATATGTCTATATTTATTTTAAATGTATACGTACATAAGTATATAAGTATACTATGTGTCCCCATGCACTTTGTTATTAGTTAAAAAACACTTTTTATATAATGTATGCTTTATTCAATTCGTTACTTAACACTCAGTGTAATTATGTTTACAACTTTTAAAAAAATGATAAAATTTACTTTAACTTTGATTTTGATCTTTAACGCATTTTAGCACATTCTTTATACTTATTATATTTATAATAAATTAAAACTACAGTGTTACCTTAAACTTTTACTGTATGTCGGTCCATCAAAACGATGTCCAATGAACAAGCAGATTTTTAAACCTTACCTTACAACAAACTATATATTTAAAAGTGTCTGACTTAGAACAAGATGATAACAGACCCCTCCATTCCTCTTAAATTTTTGTCTACAAAAATTATTAAGAAAACTAGAAAAGCGAATTTTTTTGAAAATTCGAACACTGAAATGCCTCGCACATTGATATGTATTAAGCTTTACGATTCCCATTTAACAGACACATAATTTATTAATAAATATATGCTAGCGTATTATAACAGTATAAGTATTTTTTACAAAATAATCACATAATCGCTTATATATTGTACATACTTTATACCTAAATGGTAATAATATTGTTTAACATTATAATATACTGCAAGCTCTATAAACGATTGTATGATTAATATATTATAAAACCGTAAAGGATAATGTATAATGATGTATTACATTTCGAAACAACATTGATTTATAGCCTTTCATATTTTTAATTCTGTAGAAGTGAAGAATATATAAATATCTTAAAGTATAAAAGTGTGTTATTTGTATATTTATTATAAAATATGATTAATTTATTAAATAGCCCTCACGACTCTGCGGTTATTAGGAAACTCGACCTTTTTGGATACCCGTTAATATAAGTGTCGAAAGGACGTCGACCCGTCGTTTATATAAACCTAACACTAGTAACACCCACATACTCTATATGGGTACACTACTAATACACTAGCTATTACTCATTAGTTAGACAACACCTATCATTAAAACTGACATAATATTATACCGTTTGGCCTGTTTGGGTCTTGGATGTATAAAACCACAACAGCGTGTATACATCTACTACCCATAAGACATAAAAAAAAAAATTATTGACGCACCATTAAAAATACATCAAATCAATAAGTACACTTGCGCCATTTAGAATACCAGAATACCTAATATGATGCTGATGCATGCGATAACATACGTTATTATATAATAACAGGTACCTACCCTATAATATAATTAAATTAATATTTATTTGTATTAAATTAATTCTTAACTCAATTATTGTTATCGAATATATCAAGTATATGAATAATTATTAGCGAAGCTCAAAACTAGCTGTAGTTAGCTAGATATAATATATTTATGAGTTATCAATTTATCTATATAGATGTATACATCAATGTATCACGCATAAATTGCAGTAATTTACATAAAACTATAGTAATTATTTATAACTGACTTATATAGGTTGGTAGTTAGTACCTTCGGCATTTTTTTGTGATTTAAATTTATTATTTTTTATGATATCAACTTAACTTGACATAATTTCCCAATTATATCCAAATTTCGTTTGTAAACTACAACACTAAACTTGCAATAGCAATGTTTTTATAATATGTTTCTATTTTTTGTTAACATTATTTTAATTTATGTAAAACCTAAAGACTATAAGTGCTCATGAAATGGGTTATAATTATATACTTATTAAATTTATTAAAATAAAAATATCGACTTGTTTATTTATAATTTAAACGCACACAACAATGTATAGATTCCAAATAAAATATGATTGAAATTATTTTTTAATCCGATAAAAGTGCCTAATATAGGTATTTAAAACTTGAGTGTTAAGGCATAACTCATAACCTTTCTGAACTTGGTAAGACTAGTAAGGGCTTATTTCTAAAAGTTCTGCAAAGTTTAATGAATACAAGCACACTAATTTTTAATATAAAGACGTTTAACCTAGTTTCTTTTATTTATTTTATATTCTTATTAGGTAAATGTACACTTTGCGTGTATTGTATAGACTTCGCATTTTTTTTCTTTTTTTTTTTTTACTTTCCTTAAATTTAATGTAATCATTGTACATGTACTTGATGCATAATGTATTATATTTGTTTTTACACTAGAATATACCTAAATTGGATGCAGTTTTCGTCGATCATTCGTCCGTTATGAAAGGTGCTATACCAGTATTACCAGTAACACTGGCATGGTTGTGTTTAGTGTTCAACGTGATTATTCCAGGAGCAGGTAATATTTATTTCAATGTTATTCAGTAGTTTCTAGTCAACATAATTAACTTTAAGATTTTTATAAAATGTAAATGCAATGATACAAAAATAATTATAAAATATAATAATCATTTGAGTATATATGCGTGAGATATACTTACAGATAGGTTATAGAGTGTTATTATAAAATTAAACTGTGTAAGAATATTTTCCTCTCCTAATATTTTCATTCGAAATGCACACTAACCGTATTTTTTTGTTGATATTTTTAAATAAAATAAACGTAAATAATGTTTAGTGGCGCATGTAATATGTATGGGCCACAGGGGATGAAAACACAAGGGGTTTTTGCCCTCCCACCACATTGTTATGGCTAATATGGCAATATATTTTTTTATTGTTACAATAGTTGTTGTATTTGCATTTATTAAATATAACTAAAAACATAATAATCTACGATGGACTTTGAACTGCAATAAAGTTTTTTCTAGTAGTTGAGTACTTATATATTGTTTAGAACAACAAACACGTTATAGCCTATAGGTCAAAACTCAAAATAATACCATTTTTTGGATAAAATGTCTAGTAGAACAAAATTGAACGCTTCGTTGTACAACAAAAGTACGTATCGGTAAAAATAACATAGATTTCATTATTAAAATATTTGGATTATTAGACGAGTGATGATTGAATCGAAAGAGTACTGATGACAGCTAAAACTCGAATATCATATTTTTTAAGTATTAAATATCAATACGAGTGAAACTAATTTACCAAGATACCTACTTAAAAAAAAATATTTAAAAATGTACTATAAAACGTCAGTCATGTACTGTAAATTTACCAATGAAATAAATAAATTTGCAATAAGTTAAATCGATAACTTTACTTAGGTATCAGCTTTGACATATTATTTTGGCATATTAACACAATATAGATTAAATGCACATCGCACCGTTGTCGTCAAATTAATATTTTACTGTATTCTGTGACGGTGACAATAAATACTTACACAAAATTATATTGAATTTTATAATCTATAATATTTAAAATTAATAGACTAAAATGAATCACTTTTATGTATGCTTAATATGCATACGAAAATCAATAAAATGTGCATTTTCCCCCTAAAATATATGCAAAATGTAAATTTTAAATTTTCTATTTTTAAACTTTCCATTGTATAGTTTTAATTTCTAGCGTGGTCTACTATATAAATTGAGAGCATATAGAACAATATGTAACTCCTATAACTTTTGAACCCTAGTCATAAAAATATGACTCATAGGTAATAAGATTTCTATTTTCGATTATTAGTTTCAATACCACAACTTTTTAAAATTTAAAAATGTTCACATAAATTAATAATTTTAATCATTGAATCATATAATGATAATTCTAGTCGCTTACTGTATAGGCTATAGCAACGGTTTTCAAACATTTTTGGTTCACGCATTCCCAAAAATCAAAAAATTCAGTCCCGCCTCTCTTGAATAAAAGAACCAAAAACTTGTATTAGTATATAGCACTATATTAGTACTTATAGTGTATATTATGTACAATATCAATATTTATATTACGCCTTCCAAGTGAGTCGCGTCATACAGCTTGGGAATCGATGAACTATAGCGAATATATCAGTGGCGGTTTGACAATTTTATTTCATCGGAGTAAACCTAAAATATACCTCTCACCCATCCACCCACCCACCGTTACACAAATTTGATATTTAATCAAATAAAAAATCAGTTTGGCCGAGTTATCAGTGCTTTAATATTATAATGTATAAATATAATATATTATTTACTCATAATACAAAGATATTAAAACAAGAAATTATATACTAAGATATTATATTTTATTATAAAATATAAAATATTAAAACTGAATTATTCCAAAAAAGTATAATGAACCATGAGAACTGAGTGTAGATACAGGTCGCCATTCAACTGTGGTCTGTGACTAGTGTGACTATTTAGTGTTTACCGTTTACTAGAGATTTGTCATTACTCAGTTAACACTGTCAAAAATAGCATAATCTTATATTATTATTAACAACAAAAACAATATGTATATCGACTTATCGTATATTATGTATTTTTTATTTTAATATAAAAGTATGCAGTGTACTAGTGAGTATGTGTTTGTTGAATTTCTTATCGAACAAATATCTAAAAATACATAGATTTTACTAATTTCCAAATAGATGTATTTTTATGATACTATATTAATTTAAAAATCTTATAATTTTAATTATTTTATGCTTTTTCTTTCTTATATCTATTACCATTGAATATATATATACTAATATACTCAATGCTATTACCTACCAATTTACAAATTAAATATTTATAATAAATTATGAAATATAATATAATATTATAATATTGTTATTATTCGACTTTTCATATAGGTAAAGTAAATACACCTATTTTAAGAAAGTGAAGTGAAAAATTCAAAAGTATCATAGTTAAATAACTTCAAACTTGTATAGTAAAATACTAAAATAAATTTCATTTTCATCGTAACACTATTGACTATTATATTATAGTCTCTACTCTTAATTATACAATGTTCATTCATATATTTGTAGCATTAGAACAAAATTATTACGCTACGCAAAAATTTAATATATTCTGGCGTTTAATTGATTTATAATGATAGAATTATCAAATGACAATCTAATGATAAAAACTGTATTGAGACAACATCTCTTTACGTCTTGTTATTAGAAATTGTCATAAAATATTAAAATATATCAAAATAATAAGTTATAGCTATTTCAAAAAATTTCAATATTATTAATGATGACCACCTGACCCATCCTAAATTTTGAACGGGGCAAAGCTTCGGTATATATATATACTATATCATTTTAATATTTCGAACGTATTTACATTTTACTCTTAGTTATAACTTTCGAATATTTATATGAAATATTAATTATTATGTACTACATAAATATTATCAAAAATAACAATAAATTAAAATATTATCGATTTTGTTGATGTTGTATAGGCACATTTTCCAGTGGTATTCTATGCCTGTGCGTCGGCAAGCCAAGATTTACGGTCAACGATACGTTCCAGTCCAGAGTAGGCGCATTCTGCGTGAACTTTGTTGTGGCCGCTGCTCAGCTGTTCACAGTGCTTTTCTGTTTAGTCGGCTGGGGATGGAGCATATGGTGGGGTGTGATAATGCTCAAGATGGCCAGTAAGTCAAGTTTGCCACTTGTAGAACTGTACAAAAAAAAATGTATACACTTTATTAGTTTATTAATTATTTGTATTAAATAGTGTGAATTTAACCACATTAAATTTATTCTCACTTCTTAGATTTTTTTTTATCATTTTTTTGCATTCTTATTCTACAAATTATTACTGTATTGGATGTACACGCTTTTTTTTATTGTCTACCAACCTAAACTCGATTTTTGTGTTATTAAGAATACTATTGATGTAAATTACGAATTTTATAATATGCTTGATTCGTTTAATATTTAATGCGTATAGGTCTTCAAAATCCCACATCATGGTATGCCCACAATGATAGTACAGAAAATAAATTAATTTTATTATTTATTGATGTTTGGAATGGACCTGATTCAATTTTACATTTTGTGTAAATTACTATTATTTTTGTTAGTTATTTATTATTACTAGTTATCATCTAGAACTTTCGAATCACGGAAAACATGTCAATACACAACATAATCGTTGACACGCCCTAGTACGAAAATAGTAAATTTTTAATTTAAAACTTTATAATTTAGGTCATTTTTTACTTCCTTATTATTTTGATATAAATGTATTGAAATATGGTTAAGTTTTAATTATAGTCATTTGCAGTGTGCGAAAAACAAAGTTTAAAAACCTTTAATTTAAAAGTGTAATTATAAGTTTTCTTTATACATTGTAGTATAGATTAATTTATTATTATAATTTATTGGTGTATTTAATCTATGACTGTAGCAATTACTTTTCAATAATTTCATTATTAACACAAAAAATAAAATTTCCAAATATTTTAATATAAAATTTAATACTTACAAGTAGCTGTCTGATACAATACTAGTTAGAAAAAATTATTCTTAAAAAGATGAGAAAAAATTTCATTGGTCGAAATATATTCGTAGCTATAATATACACTTAATTATTATTACTTATAAATTGTCATACATTACAATTTTTACTAATTTAAAGTTATTTTGCATCAGAAGAGTAAGTAGAAAAAACCTTTGAAATTTATTAAGTGACCAATATTTAGTTTTAATATTTTAGATGGGTACTGGGTAGTCTATAATACTAAATACTATCATGCATGGTTATACTCACGTCACTCACGATAATTTTAGAACAGATTTATAAAATTGTTACTATACAATTTTGTTTTAATTTATTTTTTTAAATTATTAATGATTATAAATAAAATAAAATGAACAATAAATATACATTTGTACCTAGCGTATACTGTATAGCCATTAACTAGAAACAAAGACACCAAAGTGAACACTAATATTTCGATTATATTAAAACATATCTCACTTCTCATAGATAAATTAGTATTTGGTCGGTAGATAGGTACTTACCAAACTTTTTATTATTTTCTGGAAATATAATATTATAGTGTGACTAGTGCCAAAAGCAAACGTCTAAATACGTAAATAATTATTTTTCCAGTAGGTTAAAGCTCGTATTCTTTATGTAGTATTAATAATTTAAATAATATGTTCCTAAAAATGTAATTATGTTATACTAAAAATAATAGTAAAATTACTAATTTAAGGGTTCAAATAAAAGAATATGCTTGGGCCAATTGGGCCTAGCTGCAAGATTAATGATTATAATTTTTAAATAAGTTGTTTCAATTAGTTATCAATGTTATAATTAATTAAATCTAATTAAACACTGCGAGCCTTGCTAAATAGTAGATATACATATACAGTTTAATGATATAATTTGCAGTTATGATCTATTGACTATACCTCATGTGTTTAAATCGTACACTCAATATGACAATACCTTAAGCTTAGAGTTAAAAAATAACATTAATAACTAATTTATGCCTTTTAATGGTATGATTAAAAATGGATAATATACATTTTTTTATTTTCTAAATTACCAATGAATTTAATAGAAAAAAATCAAAAACATTAAATCCATAGGCAATAGTGTCCTAATAATAAAGTTAATCACACTTTTAAATATCTAAATACCTAGCTATGAATTAAAATAGTCGATTTTAAGATATTTTATCCAAAGTTATATGAAACTAATAGTAATTACTATTTATTCAACATCAACATCTTTATTTTCCAAAAATTATTCTACTTTAGAATTTTAAATTAATTTAACATATTATCGTTTAATAAATAAGCGTATATAAATAATTCAAAAGTGCGTATTTATAATGATATAGCATCATATTGATATTATAATTAAAAAGTAGAGGAAATGGAATTTTAAAAATAAAATATTTTAAGCTACGAATTATTCAATGTAGACACCTATACATCTTAGGTATCGTTTTAAATTTATCACCCGGTATCAGTACCTATCGTAATATGTAAATATTTAATATCATAATTCATGATCTAACTGCAACTAAAAATATAAAATATAAGTTTCAACATATTATAAGTTGTAAATGTTATAAATCATCATCGATTAGTTGCGATGCGGGTCCTGTGTACCTACGTCTGCGGGAGCGTATAAAATTATAATATAAAAAAATAATAATAAGTAATATTTTATGCGATATACATGACACTATGACAGACACTAAACACATGTCTAACGAGTAACAAATATTGTTCGCAGAGAAATATCAGAAAGTCAAAATAATCGATCAACCCGCCGAAGCGCCCGTTGCCGTCGACCACAACCACCAGATCTGATATGGACGTTTTATTGTTGGATCTTATAGCATAATTTATAATCATATTAAACGAAATTTTTTATCTCAATTCATATCGATTATATAGGATTATGATACTGTGTATATTATTATAAATCGGAGGTACAATATCATATCCATATAATATATTTTACTTGTGTTGAAAGTAATGCATACCTAGTGAAATAGTATAATAATTATATTATAATAAATAATATAGTCTTTTGAACATTTTTACCCACCCATAATATTGTATTAGTTATAGGTACCTAGATGTAAAAATATAAATCATAATATTATATGTATGATATGTGTATGTTTTTACAGACTTTTCGCAGTATTTCCAGACTTCAAACGTTATACATTTACAATATCTATTTTCAATAATATATGCAATTAGGTAGAAATTATGCAGTGAGCGTTTTATGGACACAATAACTGGTGACAACATCGGGATTTGCCAACTATATATTGATATAATACCTTAAGAGATTAAACGATACAGTGTGAAAATCGTAAGCGTGATGTTTTAAAACTATGAGGACTGATGAGGTATTATATATACTCTAACCTAATTAGTAATTACATACTTTAAAAAAAAAAATATACAATGACATGATAATTAGCATAGAATTATTGACTAATGATTGTACACGAGTAATTGTGACAAAAATATATATACGTAGGTATATAAACAAGACTGGGCATTAACGAGTTAAAATGATAATTTAATTTTAACTTTTTAACTTAACTATAGTTACTTTTGAGTTTCGGGTTTCCATTAGTTTAATTGATGATTTAACTTAATTCGTTTTTAATTAACATGAAATCGACAAATTAAATTTTCATTTTAAAGAAAAACTAATTTATTTTAACGTTTCAATCAATTTTATTTACATTTGAAAAAATATTTCTGTCTTCGGGCAGTGTTTAGTGAAAATTGTTTTTCTTTAGTAACGAGAAACTTTATAAATATAAAAATAATATATCAACATTACAGTGAAATCTCCCCTAACGGACACCTCCCACTAGCGGACATATTTTCAGGAACGGGGATATTTTCACTACTTTTTAATGGGAATACCTTCGAATAGCAGACATGTTATATCATTACCTATTGTTAAAAATAATGACAAAACGGTAACAGCAAAAGCGGTTTTTTTTAGGCAAAAAACGCATTAGGTTAAATGATAATGAACTCGTTCAATAACTCGTTATCGAACGATAAAATAATATTATGACGACTAACCACGATTATAACGAAAATATAAATATTTTGACTGCTAATGTTTCGTTTGTTTTATTAATCGGTGATTACTATGCGACAAGTAATTAATGACTAATGAGTGAGTACGTCTTTTCGCTAATGCGAAAGAAGTTGTCGCTTCGCGAAAAAATCGAAATTCTCGACTTCTGTCAAAACAACGGAAACGTAGGAATTCGTACCTGTAGTGGCAGAAAAGTTTCTAGTCGGAAAACTCAGATTGCCGATATCGTGTCAAATAAAGACGAAATTTACAAAGCTTGAATTTAAAATATTATTAAATCCTTAAAATTATTGTGTATATACATCAATAAATCTACATAATTATTAATTACATTTATATTGTATACGTTCATATTATTATCGTATCACATTCTTATAACATTAAATTTAATTTAACATAGCGCAAATGTTTTTATTTTACACATTACCCTTTATAAATTTCAAAAATGTATCCCTTCAGAATAACGGAAACTTTCAAATAACGGACAAAAATTCGGTGTCCGCTATTCAGAGGTTTCACTGTATATAATTTTTAATTGACAAAAAATATAGGCTATAATATTTTAAATTAAATAAAAATACACTTTTTAACTTAGATAATAAAAACTTTAAGAAAATTATGCATTAACTAAGTTAACCAAAAATGAAATAATCTTTTCATTTTAATGCATATTAGCATAACTAAATTTAAAAAACAAATTATAAACTTGCCCAGCTTTATTGTAGCTCATTATTATACAAATACTTAAATGATAATAAAATCTGAAATGCATATTATATTGTATTTTGTCACGACATAAATAAAATTATTAAAAACATAATTTATACAATATACTCGTACAGGTAAATTTTATGATTGTTATTAAATTACTGTGAAAATTGATAAATATTGTATATCAATCGGAAACGATGAAAACTATTATCAAACAGTTTCCAACTAAATTCAATTCAAAGGTAACACAATTTTTTAGATTATACTCATTAGTAGGCATATTTAATTAAAAATTCCATTTGTAAAACCATTTATATGACACATGTTATATTTACTACCTTATAAGTTATAACTAAAACACGGATTTTTATGCACTAAAAAGTATTTTGAAATATGCCATATAATATTATGCAGTAAATATCATAAAAATATGCAACAAATACGCAAGAAAATTTTTTTGTTTACATAAAATTCACAAATTAAACAACTTACAACAATTAATTACTTAAATAACCTAAGTATATGAAAAAATTTCGTTTTAATATACAATATATTTCGAATTTTGTAAAAATATACAAATAAATTTCACCATTAGATTCAAATTATTATAATTCGTGATAATAACTAAAAAAAAATCTAAAAAAGTGAAAAAGAAAATAATAAGCGATTGCATATAAATTCGCGCTCTAGTTATTATTTAATTCCAATAAAATTATTTTTAATATTTCTTCTTGACAAAATGTTATTTTACACTATTTTTTTAAATTTTTATTTCAATATGCAATACATTTCGAATTTTGTAAAAATATGCAAAAATATGCAATAACAATTAAATATGCAGAAATATGCTAACAAAAAAAAAAATCACCATTACATTCAAATTGTTATGATTCGTGAAGATGACTGACAAAAATCCAAAAAAAGAGTAAAAGGGAAAAAATATGCAATTGCATAGAAATCCGCACTCTGATTACTTATAAGTTATAACACTTATAATTAATAAGTAATCATTTTTCTATCAGTTCTATCATACCTACTATATATTTTAATAACTCATAATTTCCAACTAAACTCCTGACTCCAATTTAACTAACTTATTACAGTCATTTCTCATCACTGGCGGAGGTCACCATTTATGGTATGCACACAGATTTTGGAGTGGTATAAAATATAAATTTATATTCAATACAACTCTCACGAATTGTATACAAATGATAATATATTCAATTGATTGAGATGGGCAATCGTATAATTTAAACAATAATTTGTACGAAAACAATTTAGCTTATTTTTATTTTTTGTGTAGGCTGTTTATATTAGTCATAAGTAGTCTTATAGTAAACACTTACCTACTTAGTTTTTAATATTCCTATATGTTATACTCCAAAGTCCAATTATTGTTAAATCTTACTATTTTAACGAATATGCATAATAAAACTGTATTACATATTATGTACTACCTACTCATTGATTGTGATTTAAATTTACTGAGATAAAAATAACTAGGTAATAAGCGTATACATATATTTATTTGGATTACCTTCTGCAGACTTACCCGCTATAATATATTAGGTAATCTATACATATTTATTATTGTATTGTCTTAAAATATTTTATTCCAATAAGTATTAGCTTTGTTTATTTTTATATTTAATGCAGTGAAAAAAAAGTTTAAGCATTCATATTTCATTTTATTTCTTTTTAAATGTAATACCTGTTTATTTTTATTAATAAAAATAAAGTTTTAGTCATTTATTTCTTTGTTCGGTGTAAGTGAAATTCAAATCATCATTATTAACAAATAGTACCTACCTATATATAGTTCTAAAAATAACAACATTTTTTTGCGAACCTACCTACCTACATATTTTCTTTTTAATGGTAAATTAAATTAATAACTTTTTATTTTTGTTTGAAGACAATCTACCTCACCTAACATAAATATACTTTTATACATAGGTAGCCGGTAGGTATCTACTTATAACCTAAGTACATAGATTAGATAGTACCAATGCATGTTTGTGAATTGTATTGTTATTGAAATAGACACCGACCGACGCAATTTAGTGTTGAAATCGGCTTAATGAACGAAAGACATGCACGTTTTTACTTTTAAAAAGTCGGAACAAATGAAAATCATACAAACACTGATAGGTCTATTACAGTGGTCGGCAATAGGCGGCCCGCGGACCATATCCGGCCCGCAAAGGAAAAATAATTGGACCACAAAAAATATATTTTTTAATAATTCTGGTTTTCCACACATAATATATATTTTATCTATTTTATGATGTATTTAGAGATTACGATGATGTTTATCGTTTATTGCTTTTTACAATAATAATTGCGATCACAACAATTATTAGCTAATAATATCTGAGTTTTTAGTTTTTACTGGCCCTCGTAATTTTTTTTTTTTTTGATTTTCCCCCTGGTCTATTATAAAACTAAATACATTAATTTTGGTGGAGATTATTTTTATTATTATTATCTAGAGTTTTCTCATATAAAATATAAATATTAAATTACAATTATTAAATATACAAAACCTGTAGATTTTCATAATATTCAAAACACAAACATTTTGCAATATTTCATTATTTAAAAATAAACGATTAATTATACCTATAGTACTATAGTAAGTAGATAGGTAAGTACCTATCTCCATTAAACTATAATACCATTAATACCTAAGTGATTAGAAACTTTTTTAATTTTGGTGTACCTTACAAGTTACAATCATAGTTGTATCAAGTTTTGGTATAGCTAATTGTTAATAGAAATATAATATCAATATTTATAAATCATAAGATTTTTAGTTTGTCACATACTATAATAATAACAACACATCACACTTGAAACATAAATAAGAAAAATGACTAGTAAACCAAGAGGCTTAATCAAACTAATGCATTTAAAAAAAAAGGTTTTACTTGATATATGATTTTAAAAATAGATGATTTAAGGCTTACACATAAATATTATTTAACATTTAAAAACAGTACTTCAATAAAAGGGGAATGTGGGGAGCAAC